ATTGTTGGATTTGATGGTCCCATCTACATGACATATCCAACAAAGGCCATTGCACCAGTGCTTTTAGTGAGTTTGTCATAATCAATTCAAGTGTGAAGGGGAGCTTCTCTGGTTTTCTTGCTTATATGCGGTGCTGTGAAAAGTCGACTGACTGATCCATATAGGGACAAAGCGAGAGAGGAAAGAAAAACGGAAGACGGCATTGTTCCGTTTTCAAAGTTATTTTGTAAACAATAAACAGTTGTTGGTTGGAATAATTTATTTTGATGGGGCATCCAAACCATGATTAAAGTGGCGAGTAATGAGGATACCTTCGGGTTCCGCCTCTTTACTTACTCCTACTTCGGCCCGGCCACAGATTTCTTCGCAAATTCTCTCCCAATTCACTCTTATCGAGAGGATTTTCGGAATGAGGGTAAGAATTTACAAGCGGGCACCACTGAATGGCCAGAAAAAAAAATCTGGTCTGATAGAAGTATTTCTTTCACACTCGAAAGAGGTTTCTTTTCTCATTATTTGCGTATTTTCGCTACAGTTTATTTTCTGTATGGGTGCTTGTTATCTAGGAAGATTATCGGAAAGTACAGACGGAGTTTCGAGGAGACACGAATTTTTTCACTTCAGCCAATATCAAAGCATGCATGAAGAAGGTTGGTCTTATCTAGTTACGCAGTTCGATTTGTTTTCCTTATTGGGTTTGCTTCGTGCTCAAGAAGAGTATGTGAAAAATTTGGTTGCTATATCTCTGACCATTCTTCAAAAACTCATTTCAACTCTTGCTTATGGGTTCCCTTAAGCGCAAATGTTCCAGGTAATAGCGGTGGATCTCCATGAGACCGTGCAAGTCGACAGCGAACTTTCTATTCGTGCCTTTTATGCTGGTCATGTGCTTGGCGCAGCCATGTTTGAAATCCGTGTTGGTCATCAAAGCATACTGTACACAGGTACAATCTGTCACTTTAACGGTTGTTGCCAGATACATGTCACTGGTTGTCTGCAGGTGATTATAATATGACACCTGATCGGCATTTGGGCGCAGCTCGAGTGCTGCCTGGTCTTCGACCCGACTGCCTCATTTCTGAATCCACCTATGCCACAACAATCCGTGATTCGAAGCGAGCACGTGAAAGAGATTTCCTGAGGAAGGTTCACGATCGAGTAATGGCGGGAGGGAAGGTGAGGAATTCATCTTGTGTCCATAATTTTTTATTTTCGTATCTTTTGCGTGATCCTGCAGTAGATAGTTGCCTTCAAATTGTCATTGTAGGTTCTGATTCCGGTTTTCGCGTTGGGTAGAGCTCAAGAGCTGTGTATTCTCCTCGAGTCGTACTGGGAACGAATGGATTTGAAAATACCGATATATTTCTCTCAAGGATTAGCAGAACGAGCAAATCAGGTAGATAGAACGTATGAATTTCCAAATGTGCATGCACACCCCGTCTCCAACTGATTACTGTATGGTTTCCGTTTTACAGTATTACCGATTGTTCATCAACTGGACAAATGAGAAGATTAAGCGTACGTTTGTCGAAAGGAACATGTTCGATTTCAAACATATCAAGCCTCTTGATAAGGGGTATGAGGAAATGCCTGGCGCCATGGTGTTATTTTCAACCCCAGGTAAGGTTTTCTCTTTTGGATTGGAGCCTGCAAGACTTACATATATCCCTCAGGAATGTTACACGGTGGCCAGTCGTTGAAAGTTTTCCGGAAATGGTGCCATGATCCGAGAAACATGATCATTATGCCTGGTAAGAGACCTCATTTTTTTCAAATTGTTTGTTTTATTTACTGGAAAACTGTAACTTTACAGGTTACTGTGTTGCTGGAACTGTTGGCGCGAAAGTAATAAGTGGTATGAAGAAGATTGAAATTGAAGGTAAAATGGTGGGTCTTAGCTGGTTCTGTCCATATTCTTTGATACTTTTTCAATGCTAAAGTTGTAATTCACCCGCAGTTGGTTTACAGCATGATATCAATCTGGCTGTTGAGTACATGTCGTTCAGCGCTCACGCCGATGCCAAAGGAATCATGCAGGTTACACATTCCGTTACTTTTTTCTTTAAGCATAATATGTATCTGTGCTCCACGAAATCCGGCAATCCACCTCATCCTCATTGCAAAACGTTTATTGTAGCAAGGCTTAGCTAAGATTAGGTTAGTTTTCAAGTAGTTGGTGCGTGGGTGGCAGCGCTCGCAATAAGTATTGCTAGACCTGAATTTTT